GATGGCGACGATTTTACTAAAACTAGGTGACTGTGAACAGTGCAATTTCCTGTTAACTCACCATGGGGAATTTGTATAGTAAGATTGAAAATCGAAAACTCAGAACTCTTGCCCTACTTTCAACTTGCCAGAACGCAAGTAAAACATTGTCTCACTACGTTAAGTGTACTTCAAACGGCGTACACCGAGGGGCTTGCCGCGCAGGCTATCAACTAGCTTACTGAAATTTTCAAGACGCTCACGGGAAGTGAATTACGGGCAGTGAATTGTGGCTGATGCAGGCAAGGCGGTAGACTCTTCACAGTCCTCTATTTTTCCGTAAGATCGTCGAGATCGAGCGCTTTGCGTTTCGGGCTGCATCTTGCATGAGTGTCAAAACTACTTAGTGGGGCGGGATCGGTTAATCCCCGACGCCCGCCCCCTCGGTACATTTGAAAATCAAGATGGCCGTCATTAACGGTAAGACGAGCTATATCTCAACGATCTCACGAAAAAATAGGGGACCGTGAACAGCTCAGTCTAACAAGGCGGCATATAAACTACTTTGGACAAAGTGGTGGGGTAACCGAAAAGGTCGAAACCTTGAGGGATATGACAACAAACTCATCAGTTTTTTTTTGTTGATCCCTCAGACAGAGTGTATGGCACAAATCGAATTATAAAATGATAGTGTTAAAGGGGTGGTGGAAAGTGGAGTCATTTACGTTCAAAGCTAATGTAGTTGTAAATGTCCGGTAGTCAACTGCTATAGTTTACTACCAAACGTCAGTCGCTTTTCAAAATTATTTTTTATAACCGCAAACCATATTTTTAAGGTCTGTATGTCTCTCCGGACCTTTCCAGATGAAAAGAAATTAAAGGCCATGCAAAGTAGGCTCTCCAATGGCTATGAGACCGAGACAAAGAACTGGTCCTAATAAGTAATGTCGATACTTCATAATTTAATAGAAAACTGTGGCCGGGGATTTTTCCTTTTGACAGCGTTTACGGCTAACTTCAAAAAATTTTCAGTTTACGCCGCCTATCTACTAAACGTCTTGGCCCTAAGTTTAGGGCCACAAGTTTACTAGTTTCTGTAACTATTCCGTGCTACCCTCATTAAATAAAGTGTATTATTATTATTATGGAGAATTCACGAGTTAACTAGGAAAGGGCAAGATAATGTATTATTAAAGTATTTAAAAGTTCCTTCATTAAAATATTTCGAATAGACGCACATTATTGCTATCTCATTTTGATCAAGAGAGGTACTTTCATCCTCCCTTGTCTTAATTTATTAAAAGTTACACGAAAATGACAAGAAGACAATTTTTCTTATTATATACATGCAGGTATGTTAAATGGGTCCCATTTTTGAATGGAAAGTATATAGGAAAGAGGGTAAGGGGTAGGACCACGGGACTGGGCTCCCCTGTATCAATTCACCCGGGCTCTCTATTCACGCCGTCCCCACCATCTGAACAACCGCCACAGGCTCGGGTTTGCGAGTTGAGAGCTTGAGAGAATAAACTTATACTTGGTGTATGGAACTAATGGAAACGTTTCATGTCAATACAACACGTCAAGGTTTCCTGTCTAAGTTAAAATTTTCTATCGATCCTCGCGGAGATTTGGCCAAGAAAACTATGTCTTTCATTTGCCTAAACTGCAAAATTAGCAAAAAAACTGAAAAAAGCTGCATTTAGCTTCAACCAAATTTTCAATGCTAATGACAGTTTGATGAACGGTACAAAGAGAGTCAGGATAAATTCTTTCTTTTTAAGAATAAAACAAGAATATTTTCAGCCTAAAAATGGCACAATAACAAGAATATTCAGCCTGGGCCAGAAAAACAACTTTCTAATATATAAAAAAACAGTGTATCACACGAATCTTTGGTAGTGGCTTTTGAGCGTTCTATCAATGATACATGTGTTTGATGCTAAGATCGTTATCATGCACAAAATCGCCGGCCAGTGTTGGCTGTAAAGGTCTAAAATTGAACCGCCGGCTTTTCCATGATTATATTTTACGGGTTGCAACATTTTTAACAGTTTTGAACTATATTTAGTAAAGTTGTCTGTGATGGCATGATTTCATTAAAATATAATTAATTGCCGCGCTTTAAATAGCATATACCTGGAAAACAATGTAAAGAATTAAACAAAAGTAAGAGTGTATACATTCAGAGAGAAGAATTTTAAAACATTAAGAATGGATTTTGCAACTTTGCCGTGGCGGAGCATTCGTCAAGCCCTGACATCATTGCAAAAAATTAACGGTTCAACGTCGTTTTTTTTTTTCGCTCAACAAATATAGCACCATATTGCAGCTTGTTGAACCACTACACGAAATATCATCTTTTCCACTCGCCGTAAGCTTCGGTAAACGGGCATGCAACAAAAACGTGCATCATGCCTTGCAACATTGCTGGAAAACGAAGCTAAAGGAGTTGAAAAGCGATGTTGCACCTTTTTCAACCCACGTTCAAACCTATTGACAACCTGATTTGTTGCAAGACAGGCTTGATGTGGGTAATAAAACCTGCAACATCGCTGTATTCTACTCCTGTTCTAGCAATGTTGCAAGACAAAATGCGTGTTTTTTTGTCGCCCGTTTTTCCGTACCTTAAGGTGATGTTACACGGGACGATTCGCAACGACGATTTTAGCGCAACACAGCGTTGCAATGTTGAAACAGTGTTGGAACCATTTGAAACAATGTCGCAATAATGTTGCAACGCTGTGTTGCGCTCGAAAATCGTCGTTGCGAATCGTCTTGTGTAACATCACCTTTAGTTGCATATGGTCTCAGGAGGTAAAGTCTATCTACGGTTTTTGTCACAGCTGATGAGACTCTCAGTCTTTCGCGTCTGGGTTCAGTGGTCAATTTAGCCTGGGTATTACAATCGTCCTAAGAGAAAAATAAGTCAATGATTACGCAAAATTTTGAGGGGTCTATGTGAAATGGTGAATATCAATCACGTTCTAAACGAGCGGAGAACTGGTACGGCTTATGACCACGATGGCTCTAGGGATCGCCTGATAGGACAGCAAAAACATAGCGAAGTGAAGCATTTCTGAAGCTATTATTGCTGTTTGGAACAAAGCACTTTGTAGTGCGCCATGTTTGTTGACCTTCACGCTGTCTCTCCTAACGATCCCAAGAAGCTTTGCGGTCGTATATTGTGCCCAGTTTTTCACTCCTTTATGGCGAATAGCGAGTCAACATGCACTTCATACGACTTATCCGGCGATCTTAGCTTTTACCTATACTCTGTCACCAAAACTTAAAGGGGCTACCGCAACTTACCCTCTTGTACCACGTTTTTTGATGAAGCCCGGGGTTTGATTAAACCGCTGCTCTGTATGAAGTATTTTCAATTGGATTCTATTTTTCAAACAAAGAATATTTCAGTTACGGTAAAGCGCAACCCTTTTTACAGTTATTTTTGCTTGCAGAGGCGTAGCTAAGGGAGTCCTAGGGTGTCCGTGACCTCCCCCTCACCTTTTTGAGATATTCTTTTTTTGTCCCTATAATTCAGGTTGCGAAAACGCACGAATTCGAAGCCTTAATGTACAATAAATCTTTTCTTGTGCTAGATAGTTACCTACTCCATTTGCAGGACCGAACGACTGCAGTGGACCATGTTTTTGTTCCTAATTAAAATTGTGAAGGTCAGAGCAGTTAGACATCCATTGGCTTATATATACAATATATTCGATCCTTTTCGTCGCGTAAATACCGCTATTTATAGGCTTGTCCCTCCCCCCACGCTCACTGCTCAACCAAAAAAATGTCACTTTAGTCAAACACGGCGTGAATGTCGACATTCCAGTCTGGTAAGTACCCTGGGTGTGACACAGTGTGACTCCCTCCCTCCGCTCCAGGTCTATAATACAGTAGAACTCCGATTACTCGAACTCGGATAACTCTAACTCCCCGGCCGCTAACTCGAACTAATTTATTCTAACAAAAAAATGAAATGTCTCCTTCCGTTTTTTATCTCTCGCTCTAAATCCCTGTCGCCCTTTTTCTTGTTGACCTTCGCTGGCCTGCGGCCCACATTCTCTTTTTCTCTGTCTTTCTCTTGCTCTATATTCCAAATTTGTGGACATGACAATTAATCTAAGCTTAATACTTTAGACAACGCGGATACTGAAACAATTTCCGCTTTCCGTTTTCGTCTTTATTTACTCTTTAGTTGTCTCTGCTTTACAAGACGCCGGTGGGTATACGATTTCCCGCCAAAATAGACTCGAGTTGCATTTGGGTTGCCATACCTGTTGATTGAGTTATTTTACATTGGTATGCCTGTGGTGCGGACGGACGGTGGCCTTTACGGTCACGTGATTACCAAATTTTCTCGGATGGGTAGATTGCTTACTCACTTAAATTATTTACCCATGGTGCTCCGCTGGCGCGCTTTGCGTCTAGAGCTCTGCTATAATCGGTAAAAACACTGAGACTGGTTAACACTTAATTACAGCAATTTGATTTTAACTAGTACAACGAACAGATCACGTTTATCATAAAAAATGCCTTTTCATATTACCGTTTCTGATAATATAAGTTAAACTTGCACTGCAGTAGCACTATACACTNGAAGAAGAAGAACAAGGAAAGAATCAGTAAAGAAAGACAAGAAAAGGTTCATTTCCCAATCGACTTTTCTTGATAAAGCATCAAGCGTCTTAGATTATTGTTTTTTGATAGTATTGTAAGTTATAATCATACTTCATACACTTCATTCAGGCAGCGCTGCCCTTAGCTTTAATTACATGATATAATTCATCCTAGGAAGCCTATGAATGTCCAAGGTTCTATAATGAAAAAGGCTGAAATAATTCAATTTGATAATCAGCAAAACTGTTTCGTATTCCTTTTTACGTTCCGCCATCTGTATTTCAAAATAAGAAAAATCCATAGTATATTTACAAAAAAATTGAGAGAGCCTGTCTTTCAAGGAACCTTCAAGACAGAATCAAATTTGATAAAGATTATAATATCAAAATCGAATTTTACTTGAAATGCACTGGACCAAGCATGTCAGTTGACAGCCAAGAATTAAGGATTTCTTTTTCAGGGGCAGAAATATACGAAGAGAGGATGCTTAATCCTAATTGGCAAGTTTGGCTTAAGTATATATTCTCTGGTTCAAGGGACTGTTTGTACATTCCAATCACAATCGATTGGAAAAACCTGGCAGCAACTGACCAATACAAAAGGTCAAGCTCAGAGGGAGAGAGGCTGTAAACACTTTGATAACCTCTCAACAAGTGGCCGGCAGATCTGATGGCTTCCTCATGTGAATCACCTTGTTCGACTCGGAGCATTATCATGTACATCATGCAAATCGCAACTTCAAACACTCTGTAAGAATCTGAGGTATCCCCATAATCAAGAAAGCTTATTGTATGACGTTTACCACGCCGATTTGGGAGGACAAGTATGTTCTTATCATTGAGGTCACCATGGATAACCTGTTTATCTAGATCACCAAGTTTTGGGATGACTCCATTGACAAACTTGTTGTAGACATGTTGAAGAAGTTCCAATTCAGAAGAATCATGGCTTGCAACAGATATGTATCTTTCAAGGATATTTAACTGAGCCAAGTCCCATTCTTGTTTCACTAGATCACTAAGGCCAGCATGTTGAAAACTCTGGATAAAGAGAACAACCGCATTACTCACATGATATTTCATCACCAGTTTTTGTAGCCTATAAATCACCTACCTGTAGCAGTATTACCACCTGACGTTAAGATCCGGGTACTAATTGAAAAAATAACTATGGCGACCCTACCAGGTTCGAACCCCAACCTCCAGCCCCTGAGCAAGCTCACAGTGGCGCTCTGGCGGTGGGGCGGCCTCCGTAGTCCCAGGAAAGCTTGCTCCCTAGGCTACCCAACATTCAAATCTAAAATGAGGAGGGACAAGGTGGAGCTAGTTATATTACAGAGATGGGGGTTGGTGGGTCGATTATGGGAAGCAGACGCAAAGAAAGAAATTTCCAGTTGTTACATAGTCTCATCCACATTTCCCTTTTTTTTTTATCTGTGATAGACAAAGAAGGCTCTCCCCGCCTTGAATGGGTTTTCTTTTGACACTACCTATTGCCAGTTATTGAAATATTAGATTTGTTAAGGGTACAATAATTTGATAATTCAACCAGACTCGTATATACTCAGTCGATTTATTTTCGCAAAGGAATTTGAAAAGGAAAATTGATAGGCGCAAAGGCGGTTTTCTTCCTCCCTTCTTCCTAGCTTGATGCATCTCGAACTCCCTAAATCCTTCCAATGATCACAACGCGAATACTGAGAAGCGACTGGGTACCATTCAAATGGCTTTGCATAGAAAACGGTTGTGACTAGAATGGATACCCCAAAATCAAATTATCATCTTTACTAAAATTCATGATAGGAGTCTCGGGCTTTTAACTTAAAGTAGTAAATAAGAGAAGAAAGAAAATGAAAGAAAACAGTAGGGGGTATGTAGGACTTGAACCCGCGTGATTTGATGTATAATCCACATTCGTACCCACTACACCATCAAGGGCTCACAGCCGACAGAAGCTAATCATGGAATTGATCATTACGATATTGAAAGCTAACCGTCTAAGCTAAAAAGAGTGCTTAACCCGATCTGTATTCAACTGACTCTTTTCCCTCATGCACATCTGTCTCTTACTCTGATTTCCCCTCTTTTCTCAAAAATCTGCCCAATAAATTCGCATAAATGGTTCGCTACAAGGAGTATAGCGTTGTGTAATAAACATAAGCTGTCCAACCATAAAAAACGGCACCACTACACCTGTACTTGCCTAAAATAATGATTTTCGGCTAGGTGACAGTGCCCAATGTACACAAGATCACTTTATATTGATCCATCATTCTAAGAAACTGCAATTTTACAGCTTATTAAAACATAATTATAAAATTTCAAGTGAATCGAGACTTAATTAGAAATTCAACCAATAGGAAAGACTTAGTGAAAACTCGCATAAGTAACCACAAACTCATGATTGAAACTGGAAGATATAATCAAACTTCCCGCATCGATAGATTCTGCCCTATTTGTAACTCTGAAATAATTGACCACTCCAGAAAATACCATAACATACCATAATGCTCTTTGTTTGCCACCCCAAAATTTGGCATAAGCATTGTCTTCAATTTTTCTTGGGAGTTAAAATGGCCCCAAGAGAAACTGAAAACAATGCTTATGCAAAATTTTGGGGTGACAAAGAAAGTGCTTTATGGTATGTTATGGTATTTTCTGGAGTGGTCAATTGAAAACGAATTTCATTTTCTCTTTCATTGTCCAATATATTTAATCCCAAGGGAGAAATTCTACAATCAAATCCAACAAACTTTTGTCGACTTNCTGTATTCAACTGACTCTTTTCCCTCATGCACATCTGTCTCTTATTCTGATTTCCCCTCTTTTCTCAAAAATCTGCCCAATAAATTCGCATAAATGGTTCGCTACAAGGAGTATAGCGTTGTGTAATAAACATAAGCTGTCCAACCATAGAAAACGGCACCACTACACCTGTACTTGCCTAAAATAATGATTTTCGGCTAGGTGACAGTGCCCAATGTACACAAGATCACTTTATATTGATCCATCATTCTAAGAAACTGCAATTTTACAGCTTATTAAAACATAATTATAAAATTTCAAGTGAATCGAGACTTAATTAGAAATTCAACCAATAGGAAAGACTTAGTGAAAACTCGCATAAGTAACCACAAACTCATGATTGAAACTGGAAGATATAATCAAACTTCCCGCATCGATAGATTCTGCCCTATTTGTAACTCTGAAATAATTGACCACTCCAGAAAATACCATAACATACCATAATGCTCTTTGTTTGCCACCCCAAAATTTGGCATAAGCATTGTCTTCAATTTTTCTTGGGAGTTAAAATGGCCCCAAGAGAAACTGAAAACAATGCTTATGCAAAATTTTGGGGTGACAAAGAAAGTGCTTTATGGTATGTTATGGTATTTTCTGGAGTGGTCAATTGAAAACGAATTTCATTTTCTCTTTCATTGTCCAATATATTTAATCCCAAGGGAGAAATTCTACAATCAAATCCAACAAACTTTTGTCGACTTTAATCAGCTATCTTACACAGAATTAATAATTAAATTGATGAATTCACAGAATTTTCCGTATATTCACGTTTGTTGAAATTTGTCTCATTATGTAATGATTTACGTACTAATTTGTCATCAAATTGATTGACTGTGGTAATCATTGCATTGCATTAAAGCTTTTGCAATACTGTAACTACATAATTATAATCATGTAAATAAAGCTTATGATGTTGTTGTTGTTAAGTACCACCAATGCCCTGTATACCCACGTTTTCTACTTAAAAGCAATCCACTGCTTTGTATACCCATCGGTGACATTTTAAAGTAGCCTCTAACAAGCAAAGTAGGGCAAAAATGCCCTCAGTTATACATTGGGTACCCAAGGTTTGAACACAACACCACTTTGTGCTGGTACCTAGGCATTAGTACTTAGGTAAGTGTGAACAATGCCCTTACGGTCACTCGAGGTGTAAATACAACACCAATTTGTGCTGGTACCTATAAGGCACTAGTACTTGGGTAAGTATGAGCATTGCCTTTTAAATGCTCTGTATGCACGAGGGAATCAATGTTTTGATTTCATCTGCGATAACTATATGGCCAATCGCATTGCGTACAAGAAACGGATTTTACCTTCAAAACCTTATTTATCTTTGCTGTGTAACGACCCAGACTGAAGAGAAGATCTTTTGTGCAACGAACATCTTTGAGAAGCTTTCCAGGCACGTAGCTCAAAAGTCGAACAGCATTAATTCTTGGAGGCAGCCCCTGTTCTTTCGCGTTTTCTTCACTGCCACTTAAACCATAAGAGGACAACTGGCATTCCATTGTTAGTTCACCACTTAACGACTTCATTGGAACCGGGCAAACGAAGCCATGTTCTTTCAAATAAAGCAAAAGCACGTTTTGTGCATTGATATATGAAATGTTTTGTGAATCGACGTGGTTTAATATCTTCAACACGAATTCATCTTTACTGGAATTCCCTTCTTTGCTCTCTTGGCTTGGCAGAACACCTTTCAAATAGAAATTCCGGTCGTCATAACTGATAAATTCCTTGACTTTTGAAAAGTCTGAAATACGAAGACCGAATAATGAATGTGCAAGGCTAACTGCCCCTTGTTTATCAGCGTAGGGTCGTGTTAGAGTTAAATGCCCTCCACCGCTTTCCGTCTCGTTTGAATTCACGTCCATTTTGTTATCGTCCACAACAACTTCTGAATACCTGGCCACCCAATTATACACAATGTTAGAACGCTTTGAACACTGGCGGCTAACACAATACGCAGAGTTGTTGTTATTCGCTAATATGCTAATAAGTGGCCGAGTATTCTGAAGTTTAGTTGCCCGAGAACACCTCCAGGCTGCTTGACCACTCCACCAGCCAGCAATTTTGCTTGCAGAGCACGCGGCAATCATTTCAAGTACCTTGAACACCTCGAACTTACCAGAGGTTTTGAGTATTTCACTATTTGACGATGATGAATAATGATCTTCAGGCATTCGTTTCAAAGCCACTGAAGAGTAGCTTTTACACATGACTGATTTACAGCTGATTTTGCATTTTAAGTGTCTTAGATCGAGAGACCCAGTTTACCCTGGTCTGGAAAAATTTTTGAACGGATGAATTTTACCTGTGCAACCCGTTTACTCTGGACCGTGCTAATTCTGCTACAAAATTTTGCACGCTTTGCCGATCAAAAACTTGCATGGTTCCGCGTGTCCCGAAATCCCGAAAGGTTGATCCTTGCAAGTTTTGTACGTTGAAAAATTTGTCGGGACCCGTTGAAATGGGGTCTAAGGTACATACTCTTAAATGAATTTAGCAAAGCAACTGAAACAGACACTCTTATTAATAACAGTACGTAGGTATAATTCGTTAAAGTTTTGGCGTTTGTGAATAATATGGAAGTGATCGTTCCTATCCATGAAGCATCTGAAGCTTCATTTTTCATGTCAAAACTTCCGTAAAAACTCAGAGCCAGGATAATGCAGAATTCGGCAGAGAAATGCAAAAAAATTAACAAAGGTGACCGATCTAGTCACTTGGTTTCACAAGAGGTAAAATTTCGATCCAGGGTAAAAGAGAAACTGAGAACACTCAACAGCAGCTTCAAGGGCGGTGGCCGGAAGAAAGACAAACGGCAATTAACGCCAATGATGCTAATTCGAATGGTGATGAATCATGTCCCCTCGGGTGCACATCTTAGCAGCTACTTGCTTCATGCTCAGTGTGTAGTAACTCTTAACGGTCAACATAACTGAGAAATCGTCAGCTGAAATCGTCGGACGATACCAAAGGTGTAGATAGCTAGTGCTTAAGAGCATCGCACCACACAAATGACTGTAAGGAAGCTGACAGGACGTCATGTGTCAAATGCAAGAAGAATCAACAAAGCTCTATTCGTGGCGGAAAAAAGGAGGACCCTCTTATATCCAATTTGAATCCCGATGAACCAGACTTTTTAAAAAACAAAAGTAACTGACCAAGAAGCAGAAAATCGTATCGTCCAAAGGAGAGATATAGTTTAGTAGTAAGGTGGGGCTCCCATGCACCCATATGATACATTTTTCTAACTTACTTTTTCGTAATCCTTATGTCTTGTAAACGAATTTTTATGTCACCATCTCGAAATATTAAGGTGTACAGTACCGCAAATGATCCCCAACCGCAAATGATCCTGAGACCGCAAATGATCCCCAAAATGGACCGCAAATGATCCTCGACCGCAAGTGATCCCTAAAGTCGACCGCAAATGATCCCGTGAAAACTTGAGGAATGGAATGGATTTTATGGGACTGATTACAAAAAAGGACTGATTATAAAAAAGAATCCTTTTTCTCTCGCCTTTTAAAGAAAAAGGGAAGGAGGACGCTACATCTCAGGTCAATTTATACAAGGTGAAAAAAAAATTGAATAAATCCGAAAAGTATGGTATTAACCGTATACTTCTTGCTTTGTCGATTGTTTCAATTTTTTTTTAAGAATGTTTCGTCTTTTGAAAAATTTAAGACAGGTAGGACGTTAGGCCGAAAAAACTCTATTATTTTAACGCCTAGAAGCTCAACTTTTCTACTGAGGAATACAAAGCCGGGCACCCTCTACATAACAAGAGCTTTATTGACATTCTGATCTTTTTGAAAGCGTGAAATTAATCAGCCAGAATATTTAATTTTGATTTTTACGTGATAAACAGCAAGACATTTGTTCGTAACTTAGGTGCCCGTTACGAAACAAGACATGATTTAACATAAACACAAGACAAAATGCCTCCGAAAGTCGATGTCCACAGGTTTCGGTTTATTTCGAAATAGCAACTTTCTTACAGCTCATGAACGTGTT